TCTTTATACAGAGCAGAATTCATATTGTGTTCAGTTAATACTACTTTTAGAATTTACCAGAAAACTTTCTCGTTTTCCAGAGGGTTACGAAAATCTCCTGAGCCTGAAACCTGCCGAATGACGAGGAAAACGCCGAACGGAAAACAGCGGGATCTCAACCTTGTGTAGATAATTTGAAATTCGTATATTAGGAGATCCGAATGTTCAAATTGATTCGATGATGAAGCAAAGCAAAGTTACGAGTACTTAACATCGTTAGGACTGTTAGAATACGAAGTCCAGCTTTCGTATCACTCTATTTCAATTTGTATTCAGAAAAAAAAAGGTTTTTACATGCTGATGTGGTTTGGATGTCTCAAATTTCATTTGCGGTGTGCTAGGATTTTAAGAGGAAATGTAAAGAGAGAAGTCATTTCAAATGTAATCAGATTGATTTATTTCATAGAATCAATTTATCCGTTCGTAGATATTTAGATTTCAAAGAAAGCATGCCACGTTTTCGGACAAGGTGCTGAGTGTTTTACGGGTTAATCGCCTGAATATTCGAGATTACCCTCGGAAAAAGTTCGAAAGTTTTGATTTCGTCGTGTATTTCGGGAATAATTTTCATGAATCAATGGAAAATAATTGGATTCCCAGGAAACACGTGTGTTGTGAAGTGCATGAATCATCAGCGCCTCTCGCGAGAGAGATTACTGTATCAAGACAGGTCATGCATTAAAATCGTCGCACAATTCAAATTCGTCTTGTTTTCTTCGAGATTTCAATTTCATCATTGATAATGAAAGTTGGAATTCCCATATTTTCTTTTTCCGTTCAAAAATAGAGAAGTTAGTCGGACATAATTTTTGAAATCAAGTTCCTGCTTACGTAACTCCAGCAGAACACGTTTCAAATCGAACAATTATAATTGGCACGAGAAGTTTATGGCTCACGAAGGTTACATGAAAAAAGTAATTTCGCTAATAACATAACTCCATATGCACCAATTAAATGCAAGTTCCTCGTCTTCGGCATCCTATAAAATAGTAAGCTTTTATTTTAAATTATTCTCATATATGACTTTCAAATTCATGCTTTGGTAACAAGTCATTTAAAGGCGCGCGTAACTGGAACAATATTTCGACCGATTTATTTTATCCTCGCAAAAAACATCGAACAAGCTCATCTCTGAGATTCTGTTTTATTTTTCACACTTGACCGAAGCAGCATTAAATTACCGACCATTGAATAATCGAATCATGAAGTTCAATAAATAATTTTCAAAGCGACATTTCAGTTCAGGATCCACCTCCTAAAATAGCCTCAACCCTGTATTTTAAATTCGATGTTAAGGGCATTCCTTTCTCGTCATTCAACGAACTTTAAAGAAACCCAAAGCATTGCGTCAGATTTCGCATCCTGAAGAAGATTTGCGCAAATAACGCCAGAGAATGTTTTTTTTTTTCCTTCTTATTCTTCTTTCCTCCTCTTCGTTCATGGAAATTACATGTGCGAAAGCCACGCCCTTCGTCGCTCCACTAAATCTCTCTCAGTCCGAAGGTTGAATTATTCAATTCATGACTACAATTCCGTGGCACACGTTCATCCATCGGTCTTCGAAAAACGCGGGGGTTGGTTCAAAAAATAAAAAAACTAAAATAAATAAAGCGGCGGCCGCCGGTGACGCCAAAATATCGGCGTTTGCATGTTGATGAGATGCGTGTGCAAGAGGGGCGGTTTGGAAGCATGCTCTTGCTTTGCAGATTCAGGAATACTGAATTCAGCTTACATTCATTTCCATAATTACGATAATGGTGCCACTACACCGGAGCATACTTAGAACTTTAGGTATGTGTTACACTACTGGTGGTACACATGTTTGTCCTACATACTGGGAACTGAAATAATCTTGCATCCAATCATCAGTACTGTACTTGATTTTGGCAACAGACTGGTCTGTTGTGTGAAAAATTCTGTTATGCAAATTAAATGATTTAAAATTAAAATTTTCACTTGTTGCCGTCAATTTTTAACCGACAGTATTCTGTTGTGCTGATTTAGTCCGTTGTGCGGGAAGGAACCCCGCATCCAGATGTGGTATGTTGTGCGGGATGTCCGTTGTATGGGGTTGACCACTATGTTTTGCTTATTTTGTAGCAGAAATTTTACTGCAGCCAGTCCTTCAGTCATGTCATTTTTGTGGTACAGTACTAGGCCATCTCGAGGTATAGTACCAAAAGGGACTCTCGCTACAACCGAACTCAGGGACCAGAAAAAAAAAATTCGCTGTAGAGAACACCAATTTCATGGGATCAGAACATTTGCTATACGGAGAAAACCGTTGTGGAGAGAGTTTACCTGCAGTATACGTCTCGAAACTAGCTCAATCCAGTAAATATGTTGAAAAGCCCCCCGCTTATTAAAAAGTATAGGAATTTATTTGAAGATGTGACAAATGACCTCTTCAAACATCGCGCTTTCACGTACAGTGCAATTATTGAATAAAGGAGTGGGATTGATGAAATTCAACTTGTAATCTGAAAACAATCAACGCAAAAAGGCATGTGTAAATACTCACGTCCACTGACTAAATTACTTCCGGACACGTTTTCTTTAATTGAAGTTTTACTGAAGTTCTCTTCAAATTTCGAGCCAGAAAATCGATTACGTCAGAAAAGTTCGCAGCGATAGAATATATCCTTCAAATTTCGAACGTTCAAGGTAAAAATTAAGAGACTCGGCATTGCACCAAACATTTTCGTGAATCGCTCACATTTATTAATTTTTTGTGAAAGGCGGTGATCTCATTCACGAAATAATTCATTTAAAAAATGCTGCGAAAACGACAACTAATGAAAAAAAAAACGTTTATCGCGTTGCTTGACGAAACTAAGAATGCAAATGCAATGACATGATTATCCCGACTTCATTCCGCAAATAAGTCGTATCTTTCTACAACGTATTTTGAGTAGAAGACTAGAAGTCCAGGTAAAAAAAAAAAAAAGAAACATAATTGCGTTCTCACACCATCTTCACAAACTCGGTTGATTTGATCAAATAATGGGATATTCCCAATTGAATAATATCCGCGCGAGGAAGAGGCGAAATTTTTAGATGAATTCCAACGACGAGGAGGAGGAGGAGGAGGGGGAGGGAAGTGAATCCGCTTTACATTTTATTCCAGACGAACGCCATTATTTCGCCGGAACTTTTTCCCCACAAGTTGGACCGATGGGACACATAATACGGGTACATCGCCACATGCGGGAACTAGAAGTAAATGATGTCCCGAGGGGGAATCCCGAACAGGGCGTCCCTGATTATACGCAACTGCGCCCTGCCGAATTATTTGTTCCGACCAGGCCGATATCCAGTTTTTTTTTTTATTCTGAACAGATCGCCGCTTTGTTTCATCACACCTTTTTTTTCGCGTGTGCTTCCATAAAGTCTGAAAAATTCTAACATAACATTATGCGTCTTCAAAAATATTGATAACTGGATTCATTAAGCGAACATAAGCAATCTAATTTAATGATGCACGAAACTCGAAGAAATTTTGAATGGCCATCTATGTGCAAATTTTTATTCTCTTGTTTCTTACAAAAAATCATACAAGAATATAAAAATATTCTCTCACGACGTTTGAGGACAAATTCAATGCAGTTTTAGGACATTTTTCAATTTAAAATCGCTCACCAAAAGCCGCAGAGACACAGGATACTTGAATAAATACGGCTCACATTCAAGAAATGTTCTACCATAAGCGTTGAGATTTCATCAATGTTAATTTTCTATTCAAGATACAGCAGAAAAAATGAATAAAATCTTCTCAATACTCTTTGAAAATCCCCAATCACAGCTTTTGCTGGAAAATCATTCTGCTAAAGTTCTTTCAGACTTGAAAAGTCAGCAGCTTTAAAAGCTAAAATAGCTCCGCTAACTTTAAAGAATCAAATTCTCATGAACAGGAGTTAATACTTGCAATTTTCAATATTCGTGTGCTATTCAAATCGTACATAAAATGTCTCTAAATAAAGTTGTGTTATTTAGATTATACGCAACTTGTCTCTGACACAGCGGATTTAAAATCTTGAATAAAGCGTCAAGGAATTCAAGACACGTTATCTTAATCTGTTCTTCAAGCTCGTAATTCAATGAAAAAAATCCAGCGCTTTTGAAATAACCCTCGTCTCAAACCTCTCGTAATGAAGAATTCAACCCATAAAATAAAACTCTTCGCGATACAAGTTGCAACAGAGGCACCAAAAAAAACCAATTTCAACGCCTCCGCACGAATATAGAACTTCGATTATCCATGTGAGCTCTGAAAACATTTAAAAAAAAACCACAACAAGCAAGTCAACACAGGTCGTTATCCGAGTTTAATCCGAGCAAACTTTTTGACTGGTCCTCGGAGGATCGTGAACACAGAAAAATGACGGTTCGGGGATTTTAGAGCTCCATATTTCTCGCTGCCCTATGCGGGTCATTCCTAGAATTATTTCAATGAAATCTTTGGAACACGTTCTCCAACTCATGCCGATGACCCACGGGATCGGTAAAAACAGAACAAAAAACGTGGTTCTGCCGCGTCATTGCCCAACATTTCTGCAAAAAAAAAAAAGGCATGACCCGCATCCAAGCCAGGTTGGCAGGAAATTTGCTTTAAGACCCATTCCAGCGAGATGTTCCTTGTCAAAAAACGATTACCTTTATCATTGTTATCAATGTGAAGCTACCTAAAGGGGCGAATTGGTTGAAGACTGCCAAAATTAACGTCAACCAAGATTTGTTAAGCTATACGGAATACCCAATTCGTCCCAAATCCCCTGGAAACAATTTTTGCATAAAAGTACGCTGATTGTAAAATAACATCGTAAACAAATAAGGGAAAAATAATCGGAGATGTGAAAAAAAACATAGCTCTCAACCGCTTCCCCGAATCTGTTGAACGAAAAAATCCATGATCCGGGCACCACTGTAGTCAAACGACAGGCTTCTTAAAGAAGACGGCGAAGTGAGGACTCAACAACACTGCATTTCAAGTGACTTGTCTTTCAAAGAGGATTCAATATCACACCATTCGCTCAAGTCTCGTCACGATTCCAAGCGAAAAACTTTCTTCACCGCGACTGGAGAAGAACACATCAGGCGTCACCTTCATCGCTTCGTAAAACGTCATCGGATGATGCACCTTGAAAAAAAAAAACTCTACGCATTTCGCCGAAAATTGCAAGATTTTCTACGCAAACTGCAATTCATTCAATCATTCGCCGGCAGGACTTTTCTGATCTTTGGAGCTCTCTGAAAACAACTTTTTTCGTTCTTCTTCAGACATGGTGAACTCCTCAGCAATTGAGGACCCTTTCATGCGATAATAATGCACATTGCCAGGTAATTCCAACACATTCGCCCACTGGACACCTGTTGAGACATTCAGCACAGCAATAAAAATTAATCACAGCAATTGAATGGATTTTTCCCGAGCGCCGGAAAATATAACTGAAGAAGGAAACGAAGCAAGAGTGGATTTTGCTCACATAAGACAAAATTAAGGGACCCAGTATTGTACACAAATTGTTCGTGAATAGATCACATTTATTCATTTTTGTTGAATACAACACGGTGACTCTATTCATGAAATACAGTTGAACTTCCACAACTCCACCCTATCAAAGTCAAATGCAGTGAAATACCTCCCCGTTTCAAATTTTTTCAAGTCTTTGTGCGAATTCCTCTAGAAAAAATGCATCAAGAACCTACTTAATTCAGAGACTTTCCCCCTCAAACATCCAGAACTCGAAATTTCTCGAGGAATTTTGGCAGAAGTAACAAAATGCAACAAAAGGTGTCATCTTTCGCAAAAAAAAATTGTATATTTCTTCGAGACCACGAAAAAAAAACAGAGGTGCTTCTCATACTCGAGTAAACAACGAGGTACTCACCAGGTGGTGGCGTGTTGGCAGAACCCTCAGCTTCATCTTTCCCTGGGGCAATAGTATAGTACTTCTTCCAGTTGGAACCAAGTTCGTCTTTTCGTTTCATATTGGCGTAGACCAATAAACCGAGAGCGTTCCACGCAAAAAATACGTATAAGTAACTGAGCCGCACACGAATACGATCCGAACGATGAGTCGCTTCCAGAGGAATAATTCTGGCAAGAAGTGACCTAAGGAACCGGAATCCTTGTTTTGGAGTTTTCTTCGGCGTCCAACGATTCCCCTCGAGATCCATTTTCCACAAGTTACTTTCTGCACTCAAAATATGAAGAAAAAAAAATCATGTCTCGATTTTCGCACTCGAAAGTGAAAAGAAATTGAAGTACTCAAACTCTTCCGTTTCCACACATGACTCAAAACTTTCATTAATTCCACACATTATTCGACATCACCGACAGAAGAAAAAACAAAATGCTGAGGTCACATAAGATATAAAGTCTACTGCGCGTTTTTCCTTGGATTTCTTCCAGTCGCAAAACCATGATTGAAATCTACGATTTGAATTTCGCGATAGCCCTCGTTGACAATGAGTGCATTTCAACACATTTTCAGCCGAGCACAAAGATACTGTATTCAAAGAACAGACAGTCCCAACATGGAAGTTTCTACTAGATTTGTTCCCCAACGAGAGTTTTCTTCCCGTACAGTCAATCCTCGTATGATTCTCATAAAGGCTACACAATCACACATAAAATATCTGGACGAAACAGTTGCGCGGATGGAATCTTTGGCTATGATCACTGAACAACATTGAATGAGGAAAGCTTCAGTTTTTCCACACACAAAAAACTTTGGTCCCCGGTTCCCACAAGAAAATAAAAACCACGGCAGTTGAAGGCACAAACTAAACTCTCGAGTCCACGACTGGACCTGGATTTTTCAAGGCATCCCTCCGGTCAGACAAGGCCTTTACTAGCTTTTTCCTGGGACCTAGTGGCAATCCTAGGTCATGCAAGTCGCTCTCCGTCAGTAACATCAGCGCTTCCAGGTCAATACGCTCTTTGTTGAACACTGGCAGCCAGTCGATCAATCCAGATGAGACCAACAGCAAGTGCAAAGGGGTTGTCTCCTGCTCGTCGTCTGGAATAAAAAAATTCATGTAATTTTCCGAAAAAAAAACTGTTTTCAAATTTCAGATTAAAATTGAACGACTCAAGCAGTTTTTAAACGTATAAATTGATCGCGTACTAGAGTGCTCTGCTGTTGATTTTTCATACGTGAATTCCAGCTTCAGTACATCGAAAAACCGCTTCAACTGTTGAAAATGAAGCTTAAAAAAACCGCACACTTAACCAATGGCCAAATTTGAATTATTAAACGCGAAGAACATATTTTATTAACGTTTTAACTCAAAAATTCGACAGATCTCGTTCCTCATGCTTTCATTCGAAAAATGAGCCAAAATTGGATTCTTTTGGTATGTTAAAAATGTATGCAAGTACTGTGCATCAACTTCCATTCACTACACTCGTGCCAAGCCTTTTCAATTTTCCAGGTAAAATTTCTGCGAGATTCACAGGCCAATCATAGAGCATTTCATTCTTCAGTTTCCGTTGATGAAATTTTAAAAAATAAAGAAAATTGTACTCATGATTACCCACCATTTCGAATTTCTAGACTAGGTTCAAAATTTGAGGAAGAGCCTGTATCAAGATAATTTAAATAATTTCCTGCATATCGTCGGTGGGCATTTCGTTTTAGATTATTCAGATCAGGGATCATTTAACGAGTTATGCCGAGAAAACAAAAATTGAAGGTTATAGTCGCACAACGAAAGGTTGGAATTTGTAATCCGTACCTATCGAAACAGAGATAGACGCATACAAATTAATGTGGAAGATGACTTCCGTTTGCCAAAACACGATGCCAATTTTTGGATGAAAATAATTTTGCACTCATCGAAATTGACAAAAAAAAAAAAAAAAAAAAACACTCC